CCTGTATTACTTACATTGTCTTACTATGACCGATCTTGTTTGAATCTGGTTTGTTAGATCGCTGTTTTGTCTTGACTGATTTTATTCAAATTTTGTATGCTTGATAGCATCAAGTCTAAAGACACAGCAACTGCTCTGAAGATGACAAGATGCAATCAGATACCTATTTCGGTTTGATTATTAACTGCTTTTGAAGTCCTATAATGTCTCCAATATCTTGTTTTTATTAATATTGCTATGTAATGCTATGTTCAATTATATTATGCCTGATGATATACACAATTCTATTGAAAATAACAAAAGACATCATAGTAACTACTGTAGATCACATAGTATTGTGGTTTTATATGTCTTTTTCATTTCGTGTTTTTCTAGGAATTTTTTTGTTATTGTCTTGTTTTGGTTTGTTTTTCCCTCTAATACATAAAGGATGGGTATACATGTAGAGATTCATGCATATGTAAAACTTGTAAACAGTTTACGAGAATAGATTATATAATGCACAATGTAATGAACAGATACTCTGAAGAAAAAAAGACACTAATATACCCAGTGCTAAATCTGTAGCATCATGATGTAAAAGCTAGAAATACTATTATTCTCTGTCCAGAATGATAGTAGTCTGTTTTCTTTTTTTAAAATTTCAACATATATAAAGATATGGACAGCTATTCTGAAGAGAATGAGAGACATTATGGCAGCCATTGTTGACTTCCCTATTGTCTTGTCTTGAAGACCTAAAATGCCTTCATCATTCTGTTCTGATCATTTTAGTAATATTTTGTTCAGTATGAATTCACTCTGTGAAGATATGGACAACTATTTGGAAGAAAACAAGAGACTATATGATAGAAGGGGAAGATCTCTGGTGGTTTTGATTTGAAATCTGTGTTTCTTAAATTGTTTTCTTGTGATCTTATTGTTATGTTTAACTTTATTCTCTTAAAAAAAACATAAATGAATGTAAGTCAGACAGCCCCAAGTTAGACAACTTGACTGACATGTAACAGATTAAATACAGGGAGTAAATCACAGGGCATGTTCCAGGAAATCATGATTGCGATGTTTGTTTTACCATTTGCAGTAATGTTGGAAAAGCCTAAAACTTGTTTGGCTTCAGTTTTATCATTTCCACATATGAATAATAATGCAAGTCTGGAATACTATATGTGTTTTTAAACTCAAGGTAACATGCAGAACATATTTAATATATTTTAAGGATCCTGAACAGTTCTAAATAAAGAAATGAAAAGAATATGTATGAATGGTGATCTGGTGATTTAGCTCAGTGGCAAAAGTGCCTGCCTAGCAAGTGTCGGGTCATGAGTTCGATATGAATGGAAAAATTGTATCTACTGTCAAGTTATAAAACTAAGAGTAATGCTATCAGGCACAGAGTGTAATAATGCTCTTTGATATAAGAAAAGCAGCATAAAAATAATGTGAAGTTCTGGAGGGCTGTTTGTGAAATAATAAAAGCTTCAGAAAGAACATATACAAATATTTTATAAAAATATTTCAACTAGTAAAAACTGATGTGATTGGGTGGTTACATAGACATAAAGATGTTTATAAAAATTTGGTTTAAATTATAAAAAATGTAGTTGACCTACAAGTTTAAATACAAACTGATAAACCGTATGAAACAAAGTAATAGACGTTCTCTTGTTGCTCAGAATGTGTTTTCTCCCTTCCTTTTATACTGATTACTGATTAATCAATTTCTCAACTTCATCCACTAACCTGTGACTTCCACCTGACACTTCCAATTTGGTGGGTTTCCTGAGACCATATCTAAACACTCACCTTGAGGTGTCCTGTGCTGCTTTGGCCTCTATCGAGCTGACAGGAGAAAATCAGTGAAAAAATAGAACAGGGCTTCTGAGAGGCTGTCATTCCAGGGAATACTGGGAATCTGTGCTTTGTTACTTGCGACTTGTATATGTTATTTCCCAATTCTTGCTAACCGACAATTCTGCCCTATCGTATTTCTCTTAAGAATTTCTTTTGAGAAACCCTCAATTAACAGTCAAGGAAGCTTTATCCCTGATATTTCCAAATTCCATAAGTGTTACTTCATATTATTTTTTGTGAAGATTAAGTTACATTACTTTTATTTGCAATTCTCAAGGAAATGTACTTAACTTCTATGAGTTACCTTTCAAAATTACCCCGTACAGGGAACAGTGAGTTTATGCCACAGAAATTTTCAGGAAGAGACATTAAAACTTGTGAATTCCAACCTTAACACTCTCTAAAGTTTGTCTCGATCAATATGCTTTACAGCTGATTACCACAATGCTCAGGGGACTGGTTAACCTTGATATCTGGAAGCCTAACCCTAAGCAAAGTATATGTCCATTTATAATTGTGATTAGTAAGAACGCTGGGATGTAGCACGGTGTTTCATCTGGACACCGTCAGTGAGACAGACTGTGTGCTTTGCATATACACAGTTATTTCCATCAGCCATGTGCAACAGTTGCACTGCAGAAGTTACAGCTGACATCTGGTAACTGACTGACCCCTTGATATTCAGCTAATCCATCAATAGAAAACTCAAATCATAATGTCTAATTTGAAAGAACAATTAGTAAAAGTCATGGCAATTTATACACTTGCTTCCAAAAGAAAGCTTTGCTTTTCATTCAAACCATTGCACTTTGATCTTTTTAATAAAATTTAAGCCCACTCTTTTTCATCTTATGCTACTGCATATAACTTTTTTACTATATTGTATGTATAATAGAAGCTAACTTTTATGCTAAATTTTTAAAGATAATAAAGCATATCTTTCCATATCCCAAATTTATTAGTAGCAAGAAATATATACCTGTTAAAATAAAACTATGCAGACATAGCTAGTACAGTGATAAAGTATTCTTCAATGATTAGCTCTTTCATTGATATTGATTTTTTTTCCTTATTTCTCTGGGCACCTTAATTCTGGAAAGGATTTATTTTAGAAATCTTTACCTCTATTTCCATTCACATTTTCCTTAAACATCCTTCATCTAGCACCCAAACTATCCACCTTTCGTGATTGGTTAACTTTTTTCTGTGAAGGCAAGCAGCACTTCTCAGTGTGGGAAATACAGCAGACAAATTTGACAGCCAGGAGCCTTGTGAGCTGGTTAGACCATATCACGCATAGTTCTCAGAAATTCAGCATGTGCGCCACACTGTTCATATTTTGTACATAAATATTGTTTAGAACACATATGTTCCTAATTCTATTTGTACAGAACGATTTGTGTTCTGAAATACTTTCCTACACCCAGTGTCTAACCTTGCTTCTCCAGCCTAATTCTATGCATTGTTCAACACTCCACTCAGCTGTCACTTCCCAGATAGTCTTCCTCATTATTTTGTGAACATCTCTATCTATCCTTCTATGAATCTATGCGAATAACCCAACTAGGGATATATTTTGCTAGTGTGCTCTATCCCTATTTCTGAAAAGTGCACACACACACACACACACACACACACACACACACACACACACAAAATCAACTTGATACATGCACATTTCCCCGTACATATGTTCATGGAAAAATGCAATGACAGTGAAACTAATGCTTTTAAAATTCTCAACCATTTAACAGAGTGATCATTGCTAGCATCCATAATTGCCTTTCGGGTCTAGATTTAACATCAATTTTTGAAAAAATACTATTAAACAAGAATTAATGACTAAAAGTGAGATGTAAATTTTCTTGTTCTATTACACTTTAATCCTAGATCTGTTTTTTAAGATCCAAAAATTTTAATTCATATGAAATCATTGCTACTTTTGAGAGTCATATCAGTGTAAAAGTATCAAAATTTAACTTTATATGACATGTATGCAATTTAGATATTTATTAAATTGTTCATTTCTCATCTAAATTCTATGATGGCAAAACTCCAGCAAAAACATGTCAATGCAAAATAGCATTCTTAAATACCTCTGCATAATTAAAAGTAATCTAGATAAAATAACTAAATATAGACAGATGACATAAATATGTAAATATATGCACATACTTTCTATAAAACTCATTAATTAAACTATTCGAAATCATTTGAATCTGATATTAGTATATGACGAGTAGCTTAAGATATATGATACTATGTAAACAAAATTAAAAGGATCAATTAATTTCTTAGAATACTATTCTAAGTTTCTTATATATCATAGTTGCTTAGCAACATAAACCACTGAGAAAAAATGCTGCTTTAATCATTCTTACTATCTTTATATTGTCTCCATGAGAGATCACAATGACAAATAGCATTTTGATATCATTTAAATAATACCACACTTGGTCATTTATTAATTCAATTCAGGTCTGTGTGCTTTATTTCTAGCCTTCAGCCCTGAAAATAATATCCTCTTATACAATGGAAAAATAATGTCCAAAATAATAGGAATTTTCAGAAAAGTAATAGTAATTTTTTTCCAAGTTTGTAAATGATTTGGAGAATGTGCTTGATATTTGAGAGAAGGAACTGCTTTAAATCATGCCCATACAAAACATTTGAATTATGGAATAATTAAATCCATAGTGAATAAGACAATCACTCTTTAGAAAAATTTGAAAATGACCAGAGAACTTCCTTGTATAGAAGATGAATAGTACGAGGGATTTTATCACACATAACTGGAATACAAAGGTCAACTGAATTAGTTTGAAACTCAGTGGTTTATAAAACTCTAGCTCATCATCTGAATTAGGCAGAGAAGCTTAGCAGACAGCAGTCAATAAAAAGAGCTAAAATTGTTCAAATTCAGTTTATCTCAGGCTTAGGCATATCTTTCACTGGTGTAAGAATGTGCTTTGGCATTTTCGCAAGGCAAAGTGGAAGAAAATACTTCTCTTAGCAGAGGGCTTTCTTGCATGTTTGTTTTTCTTTGATGAGGACAAAGACAATGTACTAGAAAATTCCCACAACAGGAAACTTTAAATGAGCCACAGACTTGAAAAAGATTAATCATTTTCGTATCTTTTTAATAGAGGCTCAAAGAACTGAAACAAAGGGAATTTGCTCGAAATGTAGCATCTAAATCCAGGAAAGATGAAAGAAAACAGGAAAAGGCCCTCCAACGCCTGCACAAGCTGGCCGAGCTAAGAAAGGAGACTGTGTGGTGAGTACCCAATGAAATGTTAGGTTTTCCCAAAATATGACAGAAGCGGGGTGGGGGAGTTGGAAATAAAGGGCAGCCATCTATTTATTTCTGTACCCAGAGTAAAGCACACATGTTTTCATGGCCTTCTGCAGGCTGTAAATAGTAATTTGAATTTGAATTTTATGCAAACACCTGTTTAATGCATATTTCAATAAAAGTTAAGATTCCTATAATTTTAGTTTGGAAAAAATAAAATTTTCACTATGCTGCTCTTTGGGTTATCTTAATTGAAAGCGATCCCATTTCTTAGTGAAATTCAAAATCAAACAAGAGTGCAAGGTGAAGATTTGACTTATAACCTTTGATGAAAAAGAAGGTTTAAAAGAAATTTATTTTAAAAGAAAATTTTATTTGAAATTATCTTTCAGAGTTAAAACAGAAGTCTAGAGGATGTTGTGTACTTCGAAGTTACTGAGAACTTAGTTTGGTTGTAAATAAAACTAGACTGTTGGAAGTTCGCAGCTGTGTGTGTGTGGGTGAGAGAGAGAGAGAGAGACAGAAAGAGAGAGAGAGAGAGAGAGAGAGAGAGAGAGAGAGAGAGAGAATCTTGCTGTGAGGTCCAGACTTGCCTTGAATTTTTATTGCGATTCATTTGCCTCACTTGCAAGGGCTAGAATTACTGGCATGCACCATTATGTCTTACTAGAACTTCCTAAATCTTAAACATTGATCTGCTTTTCATAGTGAGAATCTACTATTTGTGAGCAGTGTTATAATTCAGACTTTACAATCCCAGGCTTGGCAATGATGCTAAAATAAAACCACTTTTAAAGTGTTCTTTTTTCTCATAAATAAAACTTTTTGTTACTGTCTGGATCAAAGTTATTTTATATCAAGCCTATTTATACTGAAAAGTGTTATGGGATATATTGACATATTTTTAAGGATGTCAGTAATTGACAAAATCAATGTAAAATTTAAATGAGTTTGGAATCCTGTAGGAAACTATTATAAAAATGCATATGACTGTTATTCAGTTACACTAAGCAGAGACATTAACTGGGAGGAAACAAATGGAAAATTGTCCAAGTGCAAGTTAATGGTATAGAGAATCATAGGATCTGTGGAACTTAATATTCTACAAGCAACATTTGCAGATTAATGAAGAGAGGGAGAGTTAACCAAGTATGTACAAAAGAATATTCTAAATTACTATTCTCAGTAGAGTACATATTTCACTTAACACACACACACACACACACACATAAACACACACAAGCACAATTTTTCATTAATTCTGTACCTCTAAAATTGTGCAGATAGAAAATGGTGCAAGGGACCCATGAATTTGTTTGTAATTATATAAAGAACATATCGAAAAAAAATGCTTGGGCATTTATAATTTATAAAAATACTGAATTTTAAGATATAATAGAAAATTCTGTACAAGATAATTCTACTGTGGCACAGATAAAATTTAGAGATTTCCTTCATTTATGTACTGCACAATATAATTCTTTAATTAGGAAATTTTATAGTATACTGTAATGCAAATTAAGACAATTTAGCTATGAAGTAATCTTTTATCCTGCATCACTGTATTTTATGATACAATTTACACATTTGGTATAACATTAAATATTGAACCTAGCATTTCTAACAGGTGGGAAGTTCTCATGCTGCTCATCTCTTAGACATCTTTAGATCACAGCACACCATTTGGACTGAGGTAGACTCTCAGGGAATGTGGGATGCATGAATTTTGAGTGACCCAAATGGTTGAACCGAACTCTCAGCCTTTGTAAGGTCATGATGGAGTTTCCATTTTCAATATGATTCATATTTTTCATATAACATTAATGATATCATTTTTTTGTTAAAAATAGCTTTGCCTTGGAGAATTTTGTAACACTACAAAATGTGACTGAAGACAGCATGGAGTTTAAAAACCAAAACAAAATAGATCTAGCCAAGAAGCACAGATTTTTGAATGCAGGAATTCCTGTGCATGGCTGTTTTTAGGTAATTTCAAGACAATATCTTTAAGTTAGGTCAAAATAAGCAAAATGAGAGTGTGCCATTATACAAAACATTTCCACCATAGTAAAATAATTTCCTTACAAAGACATGAAAATTTGAAACAAACAAAAACTTAGTGACATTTATAGCTGTATGTGTCTATTTTTCCTCCAGACTCCTGAAATTAACATACACTTGGATTTCTTTTTTGCAGCGCTCCTGGAAGTGGCCCCATGTTCAAGTCAACAACTGTTACAGTGAGAGAAAATTGTAATGAAATTTCCCAAAGTGCTGTGGATTCAGATAATAACCAACAAGATCCCAAATGTCCTCTGATTCAGAGCGAAGAGAATACTAAAGATGTCACAGTGGCTGCAGATCCTGAAAGCACAAACTGTACAGCAAAAAAGAACCAACTTGTGTACCAAACCCAGGGGATTCACAGACACAAAATTGGCTTCTCTTTTGCATTTCCAAAGAAAGCACTGGTAAAGCTGGAGTCCTCTGCGTCAGCTTTCTCAGAAGGCAACGATGATGCCTCGGTGGGAAAAGAATTTAGCAGAAAAAGTAGGTTCGTTCCCAGTGCCTGTCATCTCCAGCGAGCTTCGCCAACAGATGTGCTTTTGAGTTCTGAGGAGAAAGCTAACTCTTCTCATCCAGCAGAGGCAACATGCACTGACAAAGAGGCTGCTCAGTCTCAGGAGATGAAAGAAGTCTCTGGAGAAAAAGACATGCTTATATTGCCTTCATTTTGCCAGGTACAACTACCTTTATGTGCTGATGTAGACAATTGCAAAAATGCACTCCCACTAGCAGATGGAATCTCTCTGGAAGATATTATTGTTAGTGATGAGGTACCGGTGAGTGGTAACAGTTCTGAACAGTTAGAGAACAGATCTACAATTCCTGATATGTCTACTGATGGTATATCTGTGCAACGTACTGCAGAGGAAAATCTTAAGAACAATGATGCAACCAAAATTGAACCTGAAAATAAAAATGGCCTGGAGACACTGGCCCCTACACTTACCGAAGTGGAGAATATAACCTTATCTAAAAAACCAGATCTATATAAAAGACAGTCTGAGCCATTTGTTCCTGTACTTAATAAACATGGATCAACAGTTCTGCAGTGGCCATCGGAAATGCTGGCTTACACAAGTACAGAACCATCAATTTCCTATAGCTGTAATCCTCTCTATTTTGACTTCAAGTCCACTAAATTAAACAATAATCCAGATAAAGATAAACTTCCTTTAAATGATCTGTGTTCTCAACAGAAGGTGGAAGACCTTTGCAAGCAACCAGTTTCAGACTGCAGGGACCTCTCTGTGGCAGGATTCACAGAGAGTGAAACAGGTGGCCCAGAAAATGAACACACACCAAGCACTCCTGTTTTGCCAGCCAATATTCTTTCCAATCTATGTGACTCTGGAAAAAGTGAGACTATGTGTCAGAGGCTTAGAAATATTTCCTGTAGATTGAGGAAAACAGGAACATGCAACTTCACTAAGAATCACAGAAAACAAGACCCTGTAGATGAGAACTACAACAAAAGCAGGTGGAAGGATACTCACGAGCACTGGTTCCATAAAAGTAGAAGAAAGAGAAGAAGAAGGTTCTGTCAGCATCGTCACCATGGGGAGAAAACCAAAGAGGAAACTCAGTGCAAAATGGAAATGGATAATAATGTCACCGAGGAAACTCAGAAAGCTTTACTGGAAACAATTTCCGAAAAACAAAATGCAGTTGCAGAACCTTCATTAGAGTCACATCATTTACCTGATAAAAGGCCTATGTCAGCAACTGAGTACTTAAATGAAAGTGAAAAAGTGGGTGAAACCTGGAAGACTGACTGCAGTAATAATGATCCTCTCAGTCCTAAAAACTGCAAAAAGGACAGAATGCTTTTCAGTGGACAATCAAATCCAACACCGATACATTCTGGGAAGCATAACTTAACGTACTCCAGAGCTTATTGTTGTTGGAAAGCCAGACTGTCCAGCTACAGTCAGGATCACAGATTCTTAGTTCTTCCAAATGACACAAAACACATGAGTCAGAATCAGCCTCTGAAAAGAGGTTACAATTCTCTCACGAAGGAATCAGAACGATTCCACCGAAAACGCAGACAACATTCACAGTCTTACTCTTCAGATGAAAGTTTAAACAGACAGCATTATTTACCAGAAGAATTGCTGAGACCAGCAAGTGCTTCCTTTGCTCCTTGTAAGCCTAAAAAGAAACGAAGAAGAAAAAGGAGCAGATTTCACACGGCAGGTGAAAACTCGGATGTTCATGGAAATCCAAGTTATTCAGAGGAAAGAAGTTCCTTAAATCACCTGGGTGGGTTCACAGGTGAAGACAAAAAAGAAGGCATGAAACCACAAGAAGCTGCAAATGTTGAAAGGAACTCAGAACAAACAGTCCAAGTCAAAGACAAATTGGCTTTAGAGCCTAACAGCCTCCTTCCTTCTCAAAGTGGTGGTGAGGCTGAGCAGTTAGTGATGGAGACCAGCTCGAATGGATGCTCAGAGGTCTCCAGTGATCCTATCGTGGCTGTGCATGAGGTTCCTCCCCCAACAAAAGAAGCAGTCAACATCACCTCTCTTGACTGCAGCAAAAGAAGTGAGACCACAAATATGAATGAAAAGCAAATTCCTTTCAAAATGCCTAATATTGAAAGGAACTTTAGACAGCTGCAGCCCAAGTCATACCTTTGCCACTATGAACTAGCAGAGACCCTTCCACAAGGAAAGCTGAATGAGCCCTCAACAGAGTGGCTGTGTTACAATTCAGGAATCCTTAACACGCAGCCACCACTACCATTCAAGGAAGCACACGTCAGCGGTCACACATTTATCACAACTGAGCAAATCCTGGCTCCTTTAGCTTTACCAGAGCAAACGTTATTGATCCCACTGGAAAACCATGAAAAGTTCAAACATCTACCTTGTGAGGTCTACCAGCACATTATACAGCCCAACGTGCTGGCCAACAAGGTCAAACTCAGCTTTCCTCCTCCAGCTCCCCTTCCACCACCGCCCGGAACCCCTCTGCCACCTCTGCCTCTGCAGCAGCCTTTCTGTTCTACCTCTGTAACCACCATCCGTCACACTGTGTTGCAGCAGCATGCAGCCGCGGCGGCTGCTGCGGCCACAGGGACCTTTAAAGTGCTTCAGCCACACCAACAGTTTCTTTCCCAGGTCCCAGCCCTTTCCAGAACATCTATACCTCAGATCTCAGTGGGACCAGTGGGACCGAGGCTCTGCCCTGGGACCCAGCCCACCTTTGTGGCTCCTCCTCAGATGCCCATCCTTCCAGCCTCAGTGCTTCATCCCGGCCACCTGGCTTTTCCACCCATTCCCCACGCACTCTTTCCTTCCCTGCTCCCTCCACACCCGACTGTCATCCCTCTGCAGCCTCTCTTCTAGTCTTCACCATCAAGGGGAAAGCTAAAGCTGGGGTGGAAGCTTCCTGCCTAGGTGTTCATCTGATATCTGGCTATTCAAGTGGTGGAAATAAACTGGCCTAAGTATGGCCTTAGTGATTTCCAGTCATTTACTGTAAGTTTAAGGATGAAAATAAATTCTTATGTTAGGATATATACTATTGCTAAAGCAACACATAGTTTGAAAATCAATACAATATCTGCTGTATATTAAAATGATGTCTTAAGAGTATGTATAATGTACATACACTATATTTATAGTACTGTAATTTATGTTGTAAAGTATGCGCCTTGGTTTTTTTCTAATCTTTGTGTATTTGCATCTATTTAATGTTTAGACAAAGCTGATGGCACTATGTTTTGTACCTTGTTCCTTGAAACTGTAAATTCGGTGAAGAATACCTTGCAATAAAATTTTTGTTAACTATTTAAGTACAGTAAACTTTGGCTTTTAGGTGGTTTTCACTGTTTTTAGTCACTCTCTGTGTTCTGTTTGTGCTGTTTCTTTTATTCAGTAAAATTTCTGAGTTTCCAAGGCCTTGATTTATCAACACTTAATCCTGTTATCGATCAGAATGATTATAACAGAAGGCCCATCTGTCTTTTCATTCATTCAACTATTGCTGATACGAAGCATTTATTGTATTTTATGCCTTCTAATTATACAGTAAGTCATGGAAATTTGGGTTGCAATGATGATGATAATAATAATTCATATATATGCAATGTTTATGGTCTCCTCAAAATTCTAAATCAAACATGACGAATAACCAATGTAAGTGTACTTATTACATTTTGAGTATTAAAATTTTCTAGTTTGTCTTGCTCATTTTCAAGTGATATAGGAAATATACATACATGTGTTATTGACATAAATTGATAAATAAGTTTAATTTTATCATTTTTTATTTTAAAGAGGAAGCAGAAAGCACAAAAAAATAAGACAGCAATCAAGCAAACAAACAGGAAACAACAACAACACAAAAGCCAAACAATGACAACAACAATAACAAATAGTGGTACAGAATTTCAAAATAAGATGACAGGTATAGCAGTGGTTGCTTAATACATATTGTTACCTTCAAAATAGTTGGTCAAGTTACCAGATATAGGCATGCAAAACTGATAAAATAGTGTAATTTCTCTTTGAGAAGTTTTTATTCCCTTTCCTTATATTTGTTGGAACTTTTAGATTGGACTTACCCCAGTTTCTTACACTAGTGAGACAATGTGGTGTTTACACATTGAGTTTGGTTTAGTTCACTTATAAGTATTGTTTCTAGATGCCTCCATTTACCTATAAAAGCCTCAAGTTCATCCTGCTTTATCGCTGGATAGTATTCTATTGTATAAAAATACAGCATCTTTTTTTATCCATTTCTCAGTTGATGGGCATTTGAGTTGTTTCCAAGATCTGACTATTTCAAATTGTGCAACTATCAACATGAGAGAACATATATTGCTGTGATACATTGTTTTCAGATATTCTGGAAAAATACCCAGACGGGAAATAGCTGAGTTGAATTGAATCTCTAATCCTAGTTTTTGAGGAATCTCCACATTAATGTTTTTACCAGTATACTCTCTCATCAACAGTGGAAAAGGTTTCCTTTTCCCCCATGCTTCCTTCAGCATTTGTTATTCAATGAAGTTTTGATATTATTCATTCTTTCTGGAATGAGATAGTATCTCAGTGTTGTTTTAATTTGCATTTCTCAAATGATCAGATGCCCATTTTTGGATTGGGCCTTTGAATTTGGGGGTCTTGATTTTTTTCATTCTTTATGTGTTCTGTATAGAAGTTCTTTGACTGAGTGACAGTTGGCAAAAACCTTTTCCTAATCTGTTGGTTTTCTTTCCACTCTGTTGGTGATTTCTTTGGATGCATAAAAACTTTTTAATTAGATGGAATTCCCTTTGTTGATTCTTTGAAATATTGCCTGTACCATTTGGTTTCTGTTCATGATCTCTCTGCCTGCTCTTATTTACTTGACTTTTCTATCTTATTTGTTTTCCAGTAGATTTAGTGTTTCTGTCTTAATATTTAGACCTTTGATCCACTTTGACTTCAGTTTTGTGCTAAATAGTGATAAGATGGGTCTAGTTTAAGTCTTCAGCATGTGCAAAGCCAATTTTTCCAGCACCACTTATTACACAGGCTTTGTTTCTTTCATTGAACTTGTTCAGCCCCTTCATCAAAGAGAAGTTTGCTGAGCATGTTTTTAGTTGTGTCTGTATCTTCTCTTCTGTTCCACTGATCTTCAGATCTGTTTATATAACAGCACCATGCTGATTTTATTATAGCAGCTTTGTAGTATAATTGTAAGTCAGAAATTGTGGTGCCTACTACCTTGTCTTTGTTGTCCACAATTGTCTTTGTTATTCTAGATCTCTTTTGGTTCCAGATGAATTTTTGGTATGTTTTTCTATATCTGTGAGGTATCCTATTATTATTTTGATCAGAATTGCATTAAATCTGTAGAACAGTTTTGGGAAATAGCCATTTTCACTACACTGGTTCTTCCTATCCATGATCAAGGGATATATTTCATTTTCTGAATTCCTCTTTATTTTCTTTTCTTTGAGAACTGTAATTTTCAATATATGAATTTTTACTTCCTTTGCTACATTGATTCCTAAGTGTTTCACCTTTTTTTGGAGGTTATAGTGAAAGGTGTGTTTCCCTATTTTTCTCTCAATGAGTTTGTGTTCTTTGTCAGGAACGCTTTTTACATTTGAGTGTTGATTTTTCACCCAGCTAAAGTGCTGAATTTTTTGTTGAGTCTAGAACTCTTAGTGGACTATTGGTTTCTGATCTGTAAAGTATCATGTCATCTGCAAATAATGATAATTTAACTTTTTCTTTTTCTATCCTTGTTCCTTTTATTTCCCTCTCTTGTCTAATTGTTCTGGCTAATGTTTCCAGAACTATATTGAATAGGAGTGGTGACGGTGTATACTTTGTGTTGTTCCTGGTTTTAGAGTGAAAGTTTTCAGTTTTTGTCCATTTTGTATGTTGTTGGCTGTTGGTTTGCCTTAAATGATTTTTATCAGGCTGAGATAAAGACCCTGGATTCTTATTTTCTCTAGGGTATTTACTGCAAATGACTGTTGGATTGATCAAAATCTTTTTCTGCTTCAATTGAGATGATTATGTGATTTTTGTCTTTGGCACTGTTGATATAGTGTATTATTGATTTTCATATGTTGAACCATCTCTGCATTCCTAGGATGAATCCCAGTTGGTCATGTCATGCAATCTTCTTGACTATGTGCTGCTTTCTGTTTGCAAGTATTTTACTGAGGATTTTTGCATCGATGTTAAGTAGGGAGATTGGCTGATAGTTCTATTTTTGGTTGGGTCTTTTTTCTTTTGATAGAGGATAATAACTTGCCTTCAGGAATGAGTTTGGAAGAATTGCTTCCCTTTCAATTTCACTGAAGAGTTTGAGGAGTATTAGAATTAATTCACGAACATATCATGACCTAGACTTTTTGTTGGTGTTTTTAATTACATTTACAGTTTCATTAACTGATATTGGGTTATTCAGGAGTTTTATGTCATCTTGATTCAGTTTTAGTAATTCATATGTTTCCAGGAATCTGTTCATTTCTTCTGTGTTTTTCATCCTATGAGAGAATAGATATTCAGAATAGGTATTGATGACCTTAATTTCCACAGGATCTGTAGTGGTTTCACTCTTTTGCTTTCTTATTATGTAATTTGAGTTTTTTTCTTTCCTCTTTTTGATAAGATTTCCTAGGGATTTAACAATTTTATTTATTCCTTGAAAGAACCTACTCTTTGATTTATTAACTTTTTGTATATTTAATCTCAATTGCATTAATTTTTGCTCTAATCTTTTCTCCCTTCTTTGGGCTTTGGACTTGAGTTGCTCTTCTTTTTCTAGTATCTTTACATGTAGCATTATGTTGTTTATTTGTGTTCATTCTATTTTCCTGATGTGAGAATGCACTGCTATAAGTTTTCATCTAAGAGCTACTTTTGTTGTGCTCCACAGATCTAGTAAGTTGTATGTGCATATTCATTTAATTGAAGATATTGTGTAATTTCTTCTTTAATTTGTTCTGCGACCCATGGTTGTTTCAGAGAGTGCTATTTAATTTCCATGCATTTATGAAGTTTTTGTGACTTCTTTTGTCATTAATTTCCAACTTTATTTCACTATGGTCTTAATAGTATGCATGGAAAAATTTCAATTCATTTGCATTTACTGCAGCATGTTGTATGGGATCCCATATATGGTCTATTTTGGAGAATGACCTATGTGCAGCTGAGAAGAATGTGCATTCTAATATTTTTAGGTGAAACATTGTACACATCTACTGAGTCCATTTGTTTACAAATTTGGTTTAGTACTGTTATTTCTTTGTTGATTCTTTGTCTAGTTCATCTTTTTCTTTCTGACAGTGGAGTGTTGAGATTTCCCATTATAAATGAATTGATTTTATTAGATTTTTATAGTTGTGTGCTCCTGTGTTTGGTGCATAGATATTTATGATTGTTATATCTTCCCTCTTGAAGTTTCTCTCCAACAAGTATGTAGTGACTTTCTTTATGTCTTTTGATCATTCTTGGCTTGAAGTTCACATTATCTGTAAATAGAATAGCTACTCTCTTTTTTAGGATTGCTATTGCATGGAGTATTATTTTCTATCCTTTGACTTTCAGTCTATTGGTTTTCTTTTTAGTTAAATGTGTTTCTTGTATACAGCATATTGTTGGATTTTGTTTCTCAACCCATTATTCCAGTCTGTTTCTTTGGATTGGTGATTTGGGATCGTTGATATTGATGGTTATAACTGATATGTACTGACTTATCGTCATCATATTAGCTTCCTATTGTTGGTTCTCTTTTTATCTCTGTTTGTCCTGGTTGGTGATTTCTTTTTGTTGTTGTTCTCGAAATTGTCATCTTTATCTGTTTTTAGAGTATCTTTCAATAAACTTTGTAGTGTTGGTTTGATGGCCATGAATTTCTTCAGTTTTACTTTGTCATGGAAGTCTTATTTCTCCATCAATTTCAGATGAAAGCTTTGCAGGGTATATCAATATGGGCTAGCAGTCATTTTCTTTCAGGACCTGAGATGGTATAATCCAAGCTCTTCTTGACTTGATGGTTTGTGATGAGATGTCGGCCATGATTCTGATGTGCTTTCCTTGATAGGTTATCTGTTTTATTTCTCTTTACAGCTTTTAGTATTTTGTTCTTCTGCTAAATTTTTGGGATCTTGGTTATTATATGTCTGAGTGTAGATATATTTTGGTTATGTCTATTTCCCATGATTGGAAATTTTTGTGGTATTATTTCTGCAAGTAGTTTTATTTTTTTTTTTATGTCATTTATGTTGACTTTTGTTTTCTTCATTGACAACTATTAATCTTATATTGTTTTACCTTACACCATCTTACTGCTGTTA